CATAACTTTTTTCCACAGATGGCAGGGACGTCGCAGAAGGATATAATCTCAGCAGAGTCTCATCAGAAGCATAGTGTTCCCCTCGTGGCTGAGGGTGAAAGAGCATCAGATGTTGCCAATGGTAACTGGTCCATTGGACCACAAGATGACAAATTGGATTAGGGGCCTACCCGACCCACATCTTAGGAAAAACGCATGGCTGTTCTCCGCGGCTGATCTGCATAGATCAGCGGCGGATATCGTCTGCCCGTTTTTCTTATAGAAATGGGGTCCTGGCCGATCTTTGCCGCTGATTTGCGACGATCGGCGGCCAAGATTGGCCACTTTCTGTACTAGAAAAATCCGGGCCTACAGGACCCGGTTTCGAAATTGTGGGGCAGGGCCTGCCCCCACGAGGCCTTGGGAACACATACGCGCCGACAAAAAAAAAAAACTCCAGCCCCCAGCGAAAATGCGCTGGGGGCAACCGGGAGGGAACCGGCCCGGGCCACCGGCCAGTCCAACCGGAAGGACCGCGGATGGGGTAGGGATCCCCGGTCCATCCGGCGACCAGCCCTGAAAAAAACATGATACTTGTGTTGGTAGTACACAATGTGTCAGAGCTCGTCGTAAGATGTGCTGGAAATGATTTTTTGGTAAGGATGTTTAGCTCCTAGAACCGAAGAATGTGTTGGGCTAAAGTGTAGGGCATGTTTGGGCGGTTTTAGGTAAAACCACCAGTCGATCTGCGTAATTCAAATGAGCCTCTCGGAAAACTTAGGGAACGCTGGACAGGGCTTGCCTGGAGGCGGGCAAATTTCTTTTTTTTATGGTTCAAAGCTCAGCGTAGCACCATTCCACGATATGGGATGATGTTTTTCCCAACTGGCCCTCTGGACAGCCCGTCCCGAGCCTTCAAAATTTTAGGAGAGGTTGAATGGGATTCTCAACTTGGCTGCGGCCAGGAACTTGTGTTTTAAGGCCAAGAACAGAGTAGCACAGTTGACGGTCGGTGGCACCCGTCCGGTTGGCTGCCAACCAGCTGCACCGACCGGTAGGCCGGTCATCGAAACTCTCCAACACTGTTCCTCATATACACACACAACTCTTTGAGAACTAACCGATCTCGCTTGTGGGCCTTGGACCCCCATTTAATGCACTCAGCATAGAAATTGCCCTTCCCAAGGTGGGCGAGGAGCTCGGAGTACACAATTGGGTGCTACACCATCCCTCCCGGCTTGGGGAATTGCTATGCTGGCACCCCTTGCTCGATATGAAAAAAAAGGATATGCTAAAAGAAAAAGAGATGATCTTTATAAATTAGCTGATTTGTATCGTAGGTTTTCTCATTATCGGTGGTGGTAGGAATGTACATGTAGAAATCACCATAACCAAACCCAAGTATGCGCAGCTTTTATGGCATTTAGTTAACTGCGAGTATTTATTTTATTACTACAAAGTTTCATCTCCACTCAAAACTTACAAGCAGAGACTTGGAGCCATTTGATGACTAATCAAAAATAAAAGAGAAGGATATTAAAAAAAAAGTGAAAGAAAGAGAGTAATAGCAAGCAATAAAGATTTTTCATCGTCCATTTGTTTATAAAAAATCCATGTTTTGGGTGTTTCAAAATACACGACATTCACACGCTAGGCAATTTTGTGTGATAGTCTACGCTTCTTTATGCTGTTTGATGAGCCTGTGTAGTATTAGGTAATTGGTTAGGTAAAGGCTGACCAAGCCGATGATGTTTAGCTGGTCTTCTTGGATGATCAGCTGCAAATCATAAGGGAGGCAGCAGTGGGGAATCTTGAACAATGGGGGTGAAAGATCACCACTAGAAACTTGAAACCTAGGCCAAAGTATAATTTGATTATTACACCACCACTACCTCCGAGCCTGTCTTCGTCGACCCTGATTTTCACTGCGCACTGAGTTTTGCCAAGCGTGGGGTGCATTGTGTTTCTTTTCTGGTACGCATGGTGCATTGTGTTTCTTTTCTGGTACTCTTCTGAAAAAGGGGGGGGAAAAGCACGGCCAGACTTTCGAAAAAATGACGTACCCACAACCACAAAAAAGGCAACACCCCTCTGGACATGATATGAGGTAGATACCTGCCCCAAAGTTGTTGTGCCAGTATGCCCTCAATGAGGGCTTTAGGGCAGGGGTGTCGGGTCCGCGAAAAAAAAGAAGAAAAACAAATCGAAACTGAACTGTGGGTGGGGAAGTTGGTTCGTACATTCTGCAAACTTGTAGTGTGGGCATGCATGCCCTCCTTCACAAAGTGTTAGCAGCCCGTGGACTGGAAAAAAAAAAAAAAAAAAAACGAAAAAAAAACGGTAGCAACAACAACCTGAGACTGGCCACAATTGTAATTAGATACTTTCTTGTGAGTATCGGTGTCAGCACAACTTTGTGCACGACCTTCCTAGACTTGGTCTTTTGTTTTTCTTTTTGCTTTTCAAAGGGGCCCACAAGACTCAACTGCCAAGTCTCGCCCGATGTCCGAAAAGTTTGGAAAAAGTGTGAAAACAGCTGCTTTTCCCATTTTTCCTATCATTGGTGGAGGTAGTGGTCGTTTAAGTATTTTCAGGACGAACAAGCATATCTCACTTAGCAGATGCTTATTTGTTAAAAAAACATTTGTTTGTGGTTCCCCAGTTTTGGAAAATTTGGTCATGTAGATCTTGTATTTGGGCTAATGGTAAGTATTTTGTTGGTTTACAGACCACTGAAGATATGGTTGATCATAAATTTGGAGAATTTCCTTCTACACGTGAAACTTTGAAAACAAAAATGAAAAAAAAAAAAAAAAAAGTAATGGCATAAAAAGTGAATTCAATCGCAATTAGACTCTATATGAATTGTAGTCCAGATTCTTGTTGGGTTTGTGAGGGTGTTACAAGTCACCGAATGAATTGCCTGCTCAGTGTGTAATGTGGGATGGTTGGGTTTATTGAGTGGTTTTGTGAGAATTTATGCTGATTAATAATCCTTCAAATATAATATGTTGGCCGCTAGTGCGTTTTATCCTGTTGTAGCTCAGTATACATAGGCTACTAGCACTCTATGCATCACCACATAGCACGGACACTACCTTCAACTTGTTTCAAGGCGATTATACTAACTACCTGAAGTTGTTTCAAACATAGTACTTCGGGATCCTACACAGCCAAATGTTGTTTTTTTGCAAACTATGCCCATTGCATTTTAGTAAGGTGAACTCGTACATGTACTGAATTTGACACACAAAACAAAGGGTCGAAGGCCATAGCACATCCCAGCATTTATATTTAAATGAACTTGGTTGTGGTATCACGAAGAATCTTTT